ACAGGGAGGGGGATGGAAAAGGGAAGGGGGATGGAAAAGGGAAGGGGGATGGAAAAGGGAAGGGAGAGGGAAAAGGGAAGGGAGAGGGAAGAGGGAGGGGAGGGACAGGGAAGGGGGAGGGAAAAGGGAAGGGAGAGGGAAGAGGGAGGGGAGGGACAGGGAAGGGGGAGGACAAAGGAAGGGGGAGGGAAAAGGAAAGGGGAGGGAATAGGAAGGGGGAGGGAATAGGAAGGGGGAGAGAAAAGGGAGGGGGAAGGGAAAAAGGAGGGGGCTCGTCGTCGTCATGGGCGCTTGTCGACGACGTCGGTTGACGTGGTTGTCGTCGTCCTCGTCGTCCGTTGACGTGTGGCCATCTCGTCGTCGCTGATGTGTCGTCTGTTGACGTAACGTGTCGTCGTCATCGTCATCGTCGTCCGTCGTCGTCGTCATCATCCATCATCCTCATTGTCATCCGTCGTCGTGCATTGACGTGTGGCCGTCCTTGTCATCGCTGACGTGTCGTCCGTTGTCATCGTGCGTTGACGTGACATGTCGTTGTCGTCGTCCGTTGTCGTCGTCCATTGACGTGTCATTGTTGTCGTCCGTTGATGTGTTGTCGTCCTCGTCATCTGTTGTCGTCCGTTAACGTGTGGCCATCCTCGTCGTCGCTGACGCGTCGTCGTCTGTCGTCGTCATCCATCGTCGTTGTCGTTGTCATTGTCCGTTGGCGTGGGTGTGATTGGAGGTGACCGCGCTGGTCGCAGTGACGGTGGTGGTGGTTGTGGTTGTGGTTGCAGTTGACAGCAAAACGGAGATGCTGATGGTGACGCCGGCAAACACCGTGACTCGTTTAGGAAGGTGGGCATGAGGATGGGTTATATAGAATTAATGTTGCTAGGCATTTAACAGCCATATGGTGTAGCGGAAATATTGCTGCTCAGAGATTCACGTGATATTTCCTGAGGCTAGAGTTCAATCCTCATGCATCCACTTATTTTTTTATATATTATAATAACAACAACAAATATTGGAATTCATTGGAATGTCTTGGAATCTGTTGGAATTTGACTGGAATATATTAAATGTACTTTCCATGGGAATTCCATGGAATCTGGTTGGAATTCTAATGGATTCCAATGGAAACTGTTCCGGGAGGCTCCCGGATTCCAACCATTTCCACTGGATTCCGTTGGATTCCATTGGAATTTCCATGGAATTGGAAACCAGAATGGCTGAGGCTCCAGCCAACTGGTTTCTGTCGGAATTCCATGGAATTCCAACATTCCACTTGGAATCCGCTGGAACTCATGGGGGATGGTAAAGACCTCCCTTGCAATGGCCCTTGAAAATTCAACTGTGGGAATGAAAGCCACCGATGATCGGCCATGGAACATTCTGAGGATCTCTACTCTTCTGACGCCACCATGTGACTCTGTTGACAACTTTTCAACATCAACTTTCATCATTGTCTTGTTCTAACCCTTTGTGCCATTCCAACTCCAATGTCCTCCACCCTTACCATAGAAGCTAAAGCCCACAATCTCGACCCCGGGTGTTTGGACGATGTTTGGTTTCAAACAGAATCACTTTTGAGGTTCTTCAATTGAAATCAAGCGACTCTTATGAATTCCAATGACGCGAAACCGACCGACCTTAGAAGCACGTGCCTGGGAGAAAGCTTTAAGTAACTACCTTATATTTTGTTGAATGACACTCAGTTTCACCAAGGTAACGTTGGTGAAGATTTTGTCAGGCAAGCAGCTGTGGTGTGAGGAATCCCAGTGGCTCCATCCCACAAGGATCTGGGTATACACGAACATGTTGCGAGTCATGGGGGGGCCCTCGGTCGATTGGAACAGACTCTATGCAGTCCCACCCACCACCACCCCTACATTCTTCATGGAAGGTTACGACGGCCCCTCTCCCCCCATTCCTCCCATTACGTCAACCATTTCTACATCGGCAAATTCGCCGCTCCCAGCCCAATCTTCACTGCCCCCAATATCGGCAGACACACAAGCGTCACCTGTCCCAATACCGAATTCGTCGCTCCCAGCCCTGCCCCCAATATTGGCAGACACATCTGTCCCGATACCGAACGCTCCCCAATGCCAATCAACTCCAGAAGCCGGCCCAGCACCAGAAAAGAAGCCAGCCAAGCCCAAACCTCAACAAAGTCAAGCAAAACCCAATGCCGGCACAAGCAGTGGGAGAAAGAGGAGAGGGGACTCCTTGGACGTCCGGCCAAGGAAGACCCGCATTGTCAGTGCACAACACATTGAGGAAAGCAGCGATGAGGAGATTCCCACGCTGAAGCCCAATTCACGAAACTCAGGCAACACTGCCAAGCCGAGGTCGAAACAACAGCCAGTTGTCGAGATAACAGTAAAGCCCAGGTCCAAAGCGACACCTCGGGTTAGCCCAGAGACAGCTACAAAGGCGGCACTAAAGGCCCAGGCATCAGCAGAGAAGCTTGAAAAGCAGAATGCGGCCATTAAAATGGGAGAATACAAGCTTGCCATTGAGCCCTGCGTAGCCTGCAGTAAACGAAAGGACAAAGAGACCGTCCCATGTGCAGAGAGCACCAGCGGTGGGCTCGCCGCCTGTTTCACTTGCAACACGGGCAAGACGAAATGCAGCAAGGCAGGGGGGAATTCAAAGAAGAAGACTGAGGGAGAGGAGGCAGAGGAAGTGAAGATCGTGGTCAAGAAAACCAAGAAGCGCAAGGCAAAGAAGGATGAAGAAGCCAAGGACGGGGGAGAGAAGGGAAAGAAGAAAGCCAAGAAATCGAAGGCTAAGAAGTCGGAACGAATGGCAGAGGGAGCCGAGGACGGGGGAGAGGAGGAAAGTGTGGTTGTCGTTCAAAAACCCAAGACGAAGGCAACGAAGCAGGATGTAGAAATGGCCAAGGTTTCTGAGGGAGAGTCCTTCGATTTCGAGTCTATAAAGGAGGAGGATTCAGAGATGGTGGACATGACCTCTGGTGTGGACGCCGAGGTAGGTACTTCTTCCCGACCTGACAAAGGCAAGGCACAGGCAACTCCAGCCATCGTCATTGAACAACCAACACCAACACCCCCAGTTCAACCCAAGTTGAGTCTGGCCATGGATGAAGTGCCCACCGTGCCCGATGTTGGCCAATCATCAGGTAAGAGTTTATCAAATCAGTTTTTCCTTACTAACCAGCCTAGCTTCCCTCATGCCCAACCTTGGGCAATCATCAGCAACAGGGATCATGCCCGACCTCAGGCAATCATCAGGTAAGATTCAATCAAATCAGTTTTTCTTTTCTAACCAAGGTAGATTTTGCTGCAACGCTCATCATGCCTGACCTCGGGCAATCATCAGGTAATGCTGCAATGCCCATTGTGCCCGACCTTGGCCAATTGTCAGGTAAGACACTATCAAATTCGTTTTTCCTTACTAACCTGCTCTGATGCCTGGCCTGATCCCAGCTCCTGCCAATGACATGGTGGGGATCTTAGTCAATGGTACTCCGGCCTCGGTTGACATCTTCCCTTCCCAGCCTGAGCAGTCGGTTTCGAACTCGTGCTGCATCAGTCCCCCTCACATTCAAGAACTTCATCATAAGTTCTTTTATGTTCTCATTGGACTTCTTTGCTTAAAAACTTAGTTGATACAGCAATGTACATCAAGAAGGTGGATTTCAGGTCCCACACTCTGCCACCGGCATTCGACATGCATGCGATCCAGCATGAGATCAGGAGACTCGGTCAAGATCAGACCGACATTCAAAACACTCTCCATGAACAACAGGCTCAGCTGACCATCGCATCAGAGCATACCAGCATCGACCCGAGTGCTCTTCTCCCCCCATTCGTGAACTCCACGTCACTCAGCCAATGTCTGGCCTCCCTGGAGGAAATGACCTGGAGACTTCAAGAGGTTGAATCCGCTGGCGATCGTCTTGCTGAACAAGTCAAAACTTTGGAAACATTGTCGTGGTTCGAGGAGGAAAGAAGAAGCAATGCATACACTGCGAGGATGGACCGATTTGAAGACCTTCACCAAGCACGGTGGAAGGATGCCAAAGCCAGGCTCCAAGACCATCAGATGGACTTGTGCACGATAAGGGTTCAGCATGACGCTTTTGAGGGGGAGGTCAGGAATATGATGAAGGTCACGCCGGCTGCATTGCAAGAACAAGTTGCGGCCAAACTTACAAACCGAGTCCACCAGGCCGAGCAAGCACAGGAGACTCTGACTACATCCTATAGCGCACTTACCAAGGGTCAGATAAAACTTGGTAACCAACAAACGATCGTGGAACAAATTGTCCTCAATCATTTTGGCCACAAAATCATGACCGACACCCAGATCGATGTGACCAAGGGGACGGCTGATATTGGCATCAACATGATGAAGGGTACTGTGGATATGGGCATCAACACTGATAAATCAGCAGAGGAATTGGTCCAAGCATCGAGCCCAGCCCCAATCCAGTCAGCAGCTCCTCCGACGCCGGCGCAAGCTTTGAGCCCAGCTCCAATTCAATCGGCAGCTGTGCAAGCTTTGAGCCTGCCTCCAATTCAACCCACAGCTCCTTCAAATCTGGTTCAAGCTGAGAGCCCGGCCCCAATCTATTTGGCTCCAAAGCCAGTTCATGCAACACGCCGCGGCAGATCACCCTCTCCCTTCACAGTTGGCACCAGGAGGTCTCCTTGGCTGATAGCTTCATCTGGTATGTCCCCTGCTTGATAGTAATGATTCAACATCTAAATGCCAGTAGATGATCATCCTTCGACTCCCATTAATGAAGACCCGCAATAATCACATACTCCATATTTTGTAATGCCTCTTCTTATCTTGTAACTTCTTGTCAATATAAAGGTTTTTTGTGTCATGTTCTTTGTAAAAGAGAAAAAGAAGTACTGCAATCTTGAAGAAATAAAACTAATCTGAGGGGTAAGCGTTAGAGGGCGACATTCAAGAAACTCTGGTGAAGTGCTTTACCTTGGCCAGGTCAACTGCTTAGGTCGAAGCCACAATGTGCTTCGCGGTAGTATGTTCGAAAGGCCGGATTGTGTTCAAAAATTATCAATTTAGAAACGAAGATATCACCTTTGGGACTTGAACCCTGGTCCTGACTATCGGCTGCTGTAAAATATACTGACCGATGTTGTCTTGGACAAGTGAATTTGCCTATAAAGATAACATGGTAGAAATATAAACCGAGCAGGAACGACCAGGTCTGGCTCAAGCAACCGTGCTCAGCTGCCTAAAATAAAAGCGAAGGGGAAAACAGATACCAATCCATCTTGAAAAGGGGTAAAAGGTTGGCTGATCCAGAGTTCATGAATTGTCCAGTTTCGTCGGCCGACTGGGTAGCTGTATCCATTTGCTCGATTAATCAGCCGAACCATAACTACAATAATGTGAATCCCACCAGCTGACCCCTCAAATCAGAATTTAAGGCCCTCGGCTGATCACAAACCCAGGAACATTCAAAACTGTCAGCCGACCTTGCAAAGCTATCATCCATCAGCCGATATACCACCTACTTCTCTCTGGGCTTACTTCCTGCTGATCTGGCTGTGCTAAATTTACGTCGCTGGCTGACCCTTCGCTACCTCAATAGTGGGGATGACATCGGCCAATTCATCAACACAGGGTCATTATCCCTCATCGGCCCATAAGCAGGCTCCATCAACTATGGCCTGTTTGTATGTTCGGGGCTCTCAGTGTTGGTGGGTGATTCCTACTAACTGCCCTGTGTGGATGTGCTCACAGACATCAAGGGGTGGCTTCATGATCTGAACATGCCAAATATTCTCTGGCTATCTGGAAGTCCTGGTTCTGGAAAGACAACAATTGCTTCAACTGTTGTTGCTGACTTTGAATCTTTCTCTGGGAAATTCTTCTTTCACCGTGATCAGGCTGAATTTTGTGATCCAGACAATCTGTGGAGACACCTTGCTTTGTATCTTGCACTAGGAAACAATGCTCTAAAAAAATCTATAGCTAAGGCATTAGAGACACAGAAAGCTAACATCAGAGGCCTTGATATTTCTATGCAATTTGAGCATCTCATTGTTAAACCAGTTCAAGACTTGTTTCAAGACACTGCACCCATTGTTATTGATGCTCTTGATGAATGTGACCAGTATGAGCCTTCATTGAAGTCCTGGTATTGACTGCTTCCCAAGTGTCTAAAACTTTTCATCACAAGTCATCACTATCTTAATATTCAGAGAGCACTGGATTCTGTTAGCCAGCATATTGATCTTCATATTGGAGATCAAGTTTCTGATCAGACCTCTCAAGATCTTGAGCTTTACTTTACTACAAGATTCTTTGACATGGCTAGATTGCAAACATCACTGCCTTTAAATTGGCCTGGTCCAGATAAAATTTCTTTTCTTGTAAGGAAGGCTGCTGGCCTCTATATTTGGGCTAAATCTGCAATGGACTTTATTTTGCACAGAGGTGGTGATACTGAAGAAAGGTTGAATGTCATTTGCTCTGACTCTGGGGAAGGCATTGATGTTATTGACACCTTGTACCAGCACATTGTTTCTGTTGCTTTACAAGGGCTAAGAGAGGCAGAAAAAAGTTCTTTATCATCAGCTTTGGGAGCAATTGTTATTGCAAAGAACCCACTTCGTTCAAGTGATCTTGTACAGCTTCTGGGAGTTCAAGACACATTGTCAGTAGTTAGCCAACTGAGTCCAGTGCTGCTAATCAGTAGTACAGGCCATTTGCATATCTGTCATCAGTCATTTACAGATTTTCTGCTTGACCAAAAGTGCTCAAAGGATTTTTGGGTGGATTCTCAGAAGCAGAGTCTCTGTTTTGCTGGGTCTTGTATGCAATATATGAGTGCAAAGCTCAAATTCAACTTTTTTGATCTGAAAACATCACACATTCTAAACAAAGACATTCTGAACCTGATGGACCATATCAAAAATGTGAAATCTACTGCCCTAGATCATGCAAGCTACTTCTGGGCAATCTATCTGCAAAAGTATCCTGATGAGGCATTACAAAGGAAGATAATGGCGCAGATGGAGGATTTTCTGATAAACCATCTTTTACATTGGCTACAGATTATGAGTATAATGGGGGCTGTAAATCATGCTGCCCACTTACTGTTGTTGACTGAAAATTGGTGCAGTGTAAGTGTCTTATGAAAATATACTCTTATGATACTGATATGAACAAATTAAATGTGGGTATTGAAGTCTAGTATGTCAGAATTTGCAAGTGATGCAAACCAGTTTATTATGACATTTTTTGAGCCAATATCTAATGCAGCACCACACATTTACATCTCAGCACTGCCATTTGCACCACAAAATTCTAAAATATCTCTGCATTTCATAAAACATTTTGTAAAGACTTTGACAATTGAGAATAGTCAGATGAAGTGGTGGCCAGATAGGTGCCTGATGAGAATAAAGGGTAGTAGTGGTTGACTTGCATATTCACCTGATGGCAAGCACATTGTGTCTGGATCATATGGAGGAGCCATTCAGATCTGGGATGCTTTCACAGGCCATAATGTCATGAATATTGAAGGTCATACTTACCCATTAGTTCAGTTGCATATTCTCCTAATGGGAGACACATAATCTCTGGTTCTCAAGACAGTACAATCAAAGTCTGGGATGCTTTGACAGGCCACAATGGTTATGTTACCTCAGTTGCATATTCTCCTACTGGCACAGACATTGTTTCTGGATCTGCAGATAAGACCATCAGAGTCTGGAATGCTCTGACAGGCCAGAGGTTCATGGATCCTCTAAAAGGCCATAGTGATTGGGTTACTTCAGTTGCATATTCTCCAAGTGGCAGGCATATTGTTTCAGGGTCCCATGATTGCACAGTCAGGATTTGGAATACTGAAACAGGGCAGGGTGTGATGGATCCACTCATTGGTCATGATGACAATGTGAACTGTGTTGCATATTCCCCTAATGGAAAGAATATTGTTTCTGGATCTAATGATAAGACAATCAGGGTCTGGGATGCTTTATCTGGTCAGAGTATAATGGTTATTTTCAGAGGCTCTGATCCATTCTACACAGTAGCTTTTTCTCCTGATGGCAAGCACATTCTTTCTGCAACTCAATACCGCATAATTAGATTCTGGAACGCTCTGACAAGTCATTGTCCTCTTGAAGATGATGAGGGTTCAGTTTATTCAGTTGCTTTTTCACCCAATGGCAAGCACATTATTTCTCGATGTGGGGACAATACAATCAAAGTTTGGGATGCTCTAACAGGTCACACTGAGGTAGATCATGTAAGAGGCCATAACCAGGGGATAAGATCAGTTGCATTTTCTCCTAATGGCAAACACATTGTCTCTGGGTCTAATGGTGCAACACTCAGAATTTGGGATGCTCTGACAGGTGTAAGTGTCATGGGTCCACTTAGAGGTCATGACAAGATGGTTACATCAGTTGTATTTTCCTCTGATGGCAGATACATTGCCTCTGGATCTCATGACTGCACAGTTAGAGTCTGGGATGCTTTAACAGGTCAGAGTGTCATGGATCCTCTCAAGGCCATGATCCTTATGTTACTTCAGTTGCATTTTCTCCTGATGGTAGATACATTGCCTCTGGATCTTGGGACAAGACAGTCAGGGTTTGGAATGCACTGACAGGGCAGAGTGTCTTAGACTCTCTTACAAGTCACACCCATCAGTTTCATTCAGTTTCATTTTCTCCAGATGGCAGATTCATTATCTCTGGGTCTGAGGACAGAACAATCACAGTATGGGACACTCTGATGGGGCAAAGCATTATGAAGCCTCTCAGAGGCCATAACAATCAGGTGAATTCAGTTTTTTTTTCTCCTGATGGAAGATACATTGTGGATCTGATGATAGAACTGTCAGAGTGTGGGATTTTCACACAGGCCAAGCTGTAATGAGTCCTCTCATAGGGCATGCTAGCTATGTTACTTCGGTTGCATTCTCTCCTGATGGGAGGTACATTGTTTCTGGTTCTCATGACAAAACAATTAGACTCTGGGACACTCTGACAGGTTACAGTTTGGGAGATCCATTTGAAGGCCATTATGATGGAGTTCTATCAGTTGTATTCTCCCCTGATGGTAGGCATATCACTTCTGGATCTTTAGACAATATCATCAGACTCTGGGATGCTCATGAAGCCTGCATAGGCTTGAATCCCTCAGCTCCTTCAGTTGCATTTCCATCTGAAGTCAGAAATAATGTTGATCACACTGATACCCCTCACAGTGTATCTCACACTTTCAAGAGTAAACCTGTTTTCTTTTGTCCCTCTAAGGGACATGATAATTGGATTATAGAAGAAGATTTGGAGTCATATCTCTTCTGGGTGCCACCAAGAAATAAACATGGTTTATTCTTACCAAGAACAGTCAATGTACTGGGCACCATTCCAACTATACTTGATTTTAGTAACTTTGTCGAGGTCTTTATTGTCCTCCACTGATTCCTGCCGGAATCTGGGCAATTCCTGGAATTCCGGAGGAATCAAATTTGGCAGAGGGCCCTGCCAAATTGATCAAATAATTCCGGGGAATCTAGAACGGAATTCCAATTCCGCTGGAATGGTTCCTGGAATCAGACGGACAGAATGATGTCCGGAATGCATCCGGAACGGAATCCATTGATGGAACGCTGACAACCAGTACTTTACAGTGCCCCACCCATTCCTGCAGGAATCCGGAGGAATGGCACCGGAATCCGGAGGAATCCACAGGAATGGCACCGGAATCCGCAGGAATCCACAGGAATGGCACTGGAATCTGCAGAAATCTACAGGAATGGGACCAGAATACAATAATACAACACCTTTCCTTTTTGCTATATACATTTACATTAATATGCACTTCTTCACACTGACTTAAAGGGTATAAACACTTTCTTATAACATTTATATATTAAAATTTATATATTTAAACTCAAATCTACATCTAATTTACTATTTTCTAAGTTAAATTAAGGGGCAGGAAGGGAGGGAGGAAGGGAAGAAGGGAAAGAGGAAGGAAGGGAGGGAGGAAGGAAGGGGGAAGGAGGAAGGAAGGAAGGGGGGAGGAAGGAAGGAAGGGGGGAGGAAGGAAGGAAGGGGGGAGGAAGGAAGGAAGGGGGGAGGAAGGAAGGAAGGGGGGAGGAAGGAAGGAAGGGGGGAGGAAGGAAGGAAGGGGTGAGGAAGGAAGGAAGGGGGGAGGAAGGAAGGAAGGGGTGAGGAAGGAAGGGACAGAGAGTGGTGTGGGGGTGTGATCAGCAGAGGAAAGGAAGGAAGGGAGGAGGGACAGGCAATGTGTGGGGCAGGCTCTGGGGAGGGGATGGAGGGGGAGAGAGTGGTGGGGACTAATGAAGGGGAAGGGGGTACTGCTGGGCCTCGTCGTCCATCGTCGTCGTCATCCTGGGTCGTCGCGTGGTTATCGTCGTGCTGTCGTCATCGCGTTGTCGTCGTCGTGGGGTTGTCGACGTGTTTTCGTCGTCGCGTGGTTGTCGTCGTGTTGTCGTCAACGCGTCGTCGTCGTCGCGTCGTCGTGTTGTCGTCGTCGCGTCGTCATCGGCTTGTGATGTGGCATCGTCGTCGTGGGCGCTCGTGGATGGGGGTGGGTTCGTCGCGTTGTCGTCGTTCTGTGACGTGGCGTTGCGG